AGTATGGCTGTATAATCCTTCTTAAGTGCTACAATGTTATGTTGTTCTTGGTAGACAAAGAGATGCCAGCTTGTCATAAGCGTATTAAACAGCCTGTGAATATCAAAGTTGCACACATACTCCTCACCAGCAAAATGGAAATTATTTAATAAAACTGTAACATGTGGTAATACTTCAGGAATAAAACCACAAAATTTCTGCAGTTTCTGGTTTGAATAAAGGTGAGCAAACAATGCAGAGCAATCATTTGAGTTGAATCTCCTTTCTCTTAATCTTATAGTCTAATAGGAAAGTCATAACTAATCATGGCAATCTTGTTGCTTACCAGAAAAAGGGCTAAATAATTCTCTGACTACTCAAAATGGAATTTACATTCTTTTAATGTGCTGTAATCTTGTGTGATAGCCTAAACATGTTCATATAAATGTTTTCATATGTTGGAAATGATTCAAGAATCAACATGATACTGACGGTACTGCTATATCTCAAAGTAGGGACTTTGCCTTGTTTTATTATTATATTACTTTTTTTTATATACTTATAGTTTTGGTTTGGTTTTTTTTTTTTGTTTTTAGCAAGAATATAGACTATTTTAGACACAATTATGACTGTTATTCAAAACAAAAATATTCTGGACAGCATTTCTGTTTTTTACTTTCCAGATTTCATCCTGTGAATCTTGGTAAAGCCTTCAGAAACTGTAAGACTGTTCTCTTAATGACAAGAAACAGCAGAAGCTGCAAGTAAAATTAAACACAAGACACCCTTTGGCATTCTTACTTCAGTAAAAATAGCTTTGTATGCCTATTCCCTCTAGTATTTGGGGTCTACAGAGATATGCATGTGGGTAGAAAGTAACTGTATTTGAAAGAAACACAAACTTGAAAAACAAAATCTATTTTTCTGTAAAAGAGAAAGAAAAGAAAAATCCAATTTTATATACAGGCAGAATGGTTTATAAATGGAATTATTTTTTATTTTTTTTTTCCCCAGTATTCCATGAATTTTCAGCTGCTTTCTGATGGGACATACAAACTGAAGAAGGAATGAAAATATAGGTTCTGATCCCACAGCAATTTTTTTCTCCAACTCCTGGCCCACAGAAATTTGCCTTCTGGTTTCCCAGCCATGAAAGTAGTCCATTGAGTGGAAATACAGGGTTTTTTTTCTGAATTTGTTGTTTGTTTGGCTTTTTTTTTCTTCCCATTTTCGAGATACATTTGATGTTTTGATGTCCTTCACAATGTCAGATACTGATTATGCTTAGCATAGTTTCTATTTAAATAAATCAGACTGGGGAGTCCTCAAGTTAGGATTTTCTGACAACACTGCTTGGTATGTTTTCCTGTTTCCCCCTTCCTTCAGTCACAGGGGTGGGGGGACAGGGGGAGGAGAGAAGATACCTACGTATATTTATAGTCACTGTGTTTTGTCATTCATTATCAATGCAACAAATATAAGAATGAAGCTGTAGGTCCTGGAGATTTCAATCCTGAGAAATTTGTCACAGCAGAGATGTCATTGTAAAAAGGCCAAGTCCAGGGTAGGAATGGTAAGGAAGAAAACTTCAATTTTGGATCAGGATCAGAGAACAAGCATACAGATTTATAATCCAGTTTCCCTGTGAGTATTTGCAGCCTTTGAGGAAAGAATATACCTCCCTGGTTTTTCAAACTGAAATGCTTCAAAGTATCTAACTCCCATACTGGTAAGGTGAGAAAACAATGATCCAGACTGAATTGTAATCCATTAACTTCATATCTGATGTTGAAGAGTATGATAGCCTCAAGGAATTGGAGTAATGTAGGTGTAGAAAAAGGATAAACTGACTACACAGAATTGTAAAACTGGAAAGGCTCTTGGATGAGCAGCACAGAGCATCACGCCCTCCATTCCAAGGGAAGAATCAACTATAACTTTTGTGATTTTTTTTATATGTTTGTCTACTCTGTACTTAGAAACCTCAAATGACTTCCCAAGTTAATGACTTCCAATGATGCAGTTTCTTTTGTAATTTAGAAAGTTTTTCTTAGAATAGCTGTGCCAAATTATGCAGCCTGCATGTATTGTCCTGTTCCTGGATACGTTTGTAACATAGTCATGGAACCAGAATGATCTAGTCTGGTGAGGTGCCTTTTGGCAGTAATTTTTCTTCAAAAGGAAAAGGCTAGTCTGATACATTAAATAATTCTGTGCTGGATCCAGAGCTAATGGCTTTGTTCTCATTTTAAGTGTTGTTCTTTAAGTGTCACAGTATATTTCAATATGTGAAGATAGCTGGTTCATGAATTGTAATAAACAAAAATTACTGAAGTGTAAAGCTTCTTAGTAATCAAAAAGAAGCCTTAAGTAATATTAACAACACTCTGAGCAAAATACTTTAAAGCTTGCAGGACCTTTGTGTAGTTCTTCCAAAGGGCTTCATAGGCTGAAAAGCTCACCCACTTCTGATCAAAACAGACTTAATTCCCTAAGAATCCTGTGTATCTGGAATTCTGTGCATGGGAGGGAGTGATCTGGATGCAATTCAAACATCATCCTTCAACAAACACTCAAAGAACTGGTATAGGAATATCCATGAAGTCTCTTTGCTCTTTTTCTTAGTGGACTCTGGCTCCTGGAGTAGAAATAAATTAGGGAAAACGTTGCTTTACTGTAGAATGGTGGAAGGAACCTTGGAAATAATGGGTATGTCCATATCTAGGAGGCTTAACCTACTACAGAATTCCCATAATCTACCTAGATAGACTGCAGTTGTAGTTATGGATGCTGAATCCATCTGTATTGAAACTTGCAATAGGTCCTGTTTTGCCAGGAGACTAATCAATGGAAATTTCATTCAGAAATCCCAGTTTATTAATCTCTTGGCTTTTCTTGTTGATTTAACATGGAGGGGGCCGGGGAGGTGGGGGGGAGGAGAGGGGTTGCAGAAGGGAAGATAAATTTCCAGGTAAAGTGCCAAAAAGCTCAAACTGGTTGTTTGGTAACCACCTCCTGGTGGAAGATAATCTGTCACCTAAACTGTGTATTTACAATGGCCTTTGAGTTTCATCTGAAAAATAAATGCTGGGTTGTTGTTTGGTTTTTTTTCCACAGATACTATACCATCATATTAGAGATCTGTGGAAGTACTTAAGTGACATTCCTCACAGTTCCAAAAGAAAACTTTATGAAATACTTTTTTCATGGTTCACTGTAAACTTTTGAACTTAACTTCTTTGCTGATCAGCCACCGTAGCATTTGTTAACACTATAGGTATGGCACAAAACCCTTATATTCCCTTATTTCAAAGGTGGTGGGGAAAAATACTTTAAAATAAATATTAAACAATATTTCTTATTCAGGTCTCTGTATTACATATAATTTTTCATAAAAAATGTAAATAATTTTAGTAAGTATAGGTACTACAGAGGATTTATGATTTAACAGGAATAAGATTTTTATTTGGGTTTTTTACTGTGAAGACAGCTAAGAAAAATCTCAGAGCTTCCCAAAACCACTTTCATCATTCAGCACACAGTACTGTAGAATATAAAAATATATACTGTACTACTTTAAGTGAATTCATATTTGTAGGAGACACAGCCTGAGTATGTGCAATTATGAAATGCAATTTTTTTTTTTCCCCTCTTGACTTTTTTAGCTGCCTCACCCTTCTTATTTGAACACATACATATGGTGTGTGAGAGTGAGCAAGCTCTCTGTAAACGTTTGGAGGGAGCATCTGTCAGACAATAAAACTTACAAGAAAACATGCTTCTCATTTAAAGTGTATTCACTAGAAATATTTCAGTGTTGGAATCCGTTCATTTGTGTAGCTTGGAGGCATTAATAAGAGCAGAGAACTGTAAAGGCACTGGAAAACTCAAACTGTTTCTAAGAATCCAAGGTATTTTTTTTTAAAAGCATTTCGTCTCTTCGGCATCACAGTCTTCTGATAGGAACCTGAACCAGTTGGCTAACAGGAAACCTCTGATAGTCCATCCAAAAAGATTGCAAACAAGAAGATGACATGCTTTTTGCAAACCTGGAAAGTCTAAAGATTACAATAACTGTTGGACCAAAGGGACCCTCTTCAGGCATAAATAGCAAGACTCCTACTGTCTTCTCTTGCAGACCAACTCAGCTGCCAGCAAAAGCAGGTGCTCTCCCCCTGCCAGTGCTCCAGAGGAAATATTTAGTGAGTATTCACAGCTCTTTTTGCAAATTAATGTATTATTAACATTTTGGTTACATCTGTTTAGCTTTCTCAACAGACAAAAGCATTTAAAAATAAGTTTCTAAGGCTGCTATTTCATAAAATTGCTGGAGTTCAATAGTCTGATGCAATTACCATATTAATTTAAAAATAAAATTTACAGAACCTATGACAGCAACTTTTAAAAAATATTGGTCTTTAACAACTGTAGAGCTTAAACAATCTGAGACAATTACAATGTATTTTTAATGCACAAGTTATGACAGCAAAGTAATTCATATAAATATGAAATGTATTTGATTTTAAATGCTATGCCATAAAGCAGCCTTTGTAGAACACAAATTTAAAATAAATCATTTCTTTTGGCAAAGTAAGCTGCAATTTAATCTTTAGGAGAATAAATATACCACTAATGTTTTCCACAGAAACAGTTGCTAGTCTAATTAATTCAAGATGTGACTCTAATAAGATTTCAAAAGAAAATCAGAAACAGATTTTTCTCAGAGGCAGTAATATGGACAAGGTTGAGATATTTTTATATTCAGTAGAAACACTTGTCTCAGGTAGAGTTACAGACTTATAGGATGGAACTATCAAATCTGAAAGCATTATAATAAGGTTTTCAGAAGCATACCAATTTTTAGTGTTGCAGATACATGCTTTCTTTTTTGTTATAACTTACAGTACATCACATTTTATTAGGCAACCACTATTCAATTTTGAGTTTAGAGTGACTAATGTGGCTAACATTTTTCTTTTCCTTTTTTTTTTTTTTCCTTTTCTCTTTTTGTCTGGAAAGGAATGGAAAACCTGATGTTTGTCTACTGCTCCTGTAAAGTTATCTGGACGTTACTTGTAACAATTCTAGGTCATGCCAACAGCTTGCCTGTGGGTGATGATTCTCTTTGCACAGCAGAGGATCTTGCTAAGTACAGCATAATCTTCACAGGGAAATGGAGTCAGATTGCTTTCCCTAAGCAGTATCCACTTTACAGGCCCCCAGCACAGTGGTCATCACTGTTAGGTAAGTGATGTACAGCTTTAAAAAAGCATATAAATCTTTTGACCACTGTGGGCTTTTTTTTTTGCTTTTTTTTTCTTTTTCCTAATAGCCAATTTTAAGATAACTAATGAAGAGGGAAAAAAAATAGCAAAAGCTGCTGAGAATGAAATGCAGAAATTGAAGTATCAAAAGTCAACAACTCTTTCCAGTTGACTTCTGTTTTCAATTGACTGCAGCTGAAATAAACAGTGATAAGCCAAATGTTTTAGTGTTCACTCATTTTTATACACAATTTCTTTAAAGTCAGTAATAAAACAGAGAAATGGAAGAAATAGGGCCAATCTAAACCAGACTTTTATGTCATGCCATGTATTCACTCAAATAGGTGTTACTCATAGTTCTGACTACAGCATGTGGAAAAAAAATGAATATGCCAGCAATGGTGTACGTGATTTTGCTGAAAAGGGTGAAGCATGGGTGTTAATGAAAGAAATAGAAGAAGCTGGAGAGAAAATTCAGAGTGTACATGGAATCTTCTCTGCTCCTGCCATTTCCAGTGGTACAGGACAAACCTCCACTGAATTAGAAGTGCACCCGAGACATCCTTTAGTAAGTAACTGTACATATTAATTTCAAAAGTTTATTTTATGTCACTAGCACACAAAATTAAATATTTGAGCTCTCACTTGTAGGAATAATGTAATTCAAAGAGTTACTGAAAAGCATGTCACACTGCAGGGAGCACCGTGCAGGTTCTACAAAGTAGAAGAGCATAATTATTTTTTTTTCAAAAATTTAAGTTAAAATTTCTATGAGGACTACTGGATCCTTTCAAAGTATGTGATGCAATCCTGATGGGTCCTTTTGTTTCATTAGGTTTCATTTGTTGTACGAATTGTTCCAAGCCCTGACTGGTTTGTGGGTATTGACAGTCTAAATCTCTGTGAAGGAGACCACTGGATGGAAGAAGTATCAGTAGATCTATTTCCATATGATGCTGGAACTGACAGTGGTTTCACATTTTCCTCCCCAAATTTTGCCACTATTCCACAGGACACAGTTACAGAGGTAGGTGTTTACACATAGCTTACCTACATTTTCTGAGTTCTCCCTTTAAAAGATAACTATCTTCTGACTACACAGGAGACTTTTGTGAAGCTGATTTCAGTATTTCAGACTGCTGATGCTCTCTCTCTATGGTTTTATTGCATAGCTGATAACCTTAATGCTTTTGGTTTTTTTCTGTATCTTTAAAATTTGGTAAATGTGGATGGTTCATGAAAATTTGGCTCTACATTTAATATATTTTCTGTAAAATCTTAATGTTTTTGGATTATTTTTGACAGTTCTTGAAACAACAGGAAAATTATTCACAAAACTCCTGGCATTTCTAAATGTGCATATGAACAGGAAAATTTTTAGTAGTGAATACTGATATGGTTGCAGTTAAATGCATTGCTGAAACCTGAAAATGTTACATTTGAGGAAAAGGAACTAAGGGAAGGCAGAAGGGAACTTCACAACTGCAATGACCCAGCTTTCAAACTCTTTAGCTTGCTCAATACTCTATATGTCTCATACTTTGTTTTTCTCCTTTATAAAGGTGGTGGGTGGGGAACAGAGCATTTTTATTCATATTTTTTGAACACTGTAAGCACTCACTTAATCCTTTCTTTAAGGCCAGTTTTTTCTAGGTCCAAATGCTGTGCTAATGAGTAATTAGAAAAGGAACAGAGAAGATGTAAAACAATACATTTGGCCTCCTATGTGTAGCAGGATGACAGCTGCTATAGCATAGCTAATATTATTATTTAATACTCGTGTAGTCTCCCTTGTAGTAAGATCCATTTCTTCCAATCAAATAATTCTAGACATTACTGTGTTTTCAATACCTCCCACTGCAGCCTTCTGTCCTAGAGTTGGCACGAGTCATTGTGCCCAGTCCTAAAGCATAAAGATACTGGGATTGTTAGTAGTACTTGTGTGAACAGAGGTTCATAGAAACTGATTATATCCATTTTTATTGCCTGAAAGTATTAGCATGTTGTGTAAACCTGATCTTACCTTTATCTTCTTACTAATATGATGTAGTTTCTTTAAGGTTCCCCTTTTTATTTCACAGATCACTTGTTCCTCTCCAAGTCACCCAGCAAACTCATTTTATTATCCCAAACTCAAAATTTTGCCACCTATCGCTCATGTAAAAATGGTGAAATTAAAGAAAAACCAGCCTGGTCTTCCTCCACCTTTTCTTGATATTCCACCTAAAAGCAATGAAATAATAGACTCTATTTCAGGTAAGTGATGAGTATTTTTGTAGGCTTGATTGTGTTATTTCCATTCACTCACAAAATATGTGGAAATCTGGCAGGTGATGTGGATGAAACAGGTGATTAGGCAGAATATTCTCCTATCTGCACAGGAATAGTTTCCAGACACACATAGGGAATAAAATAAGCCAGTTGACATAAAAGAGAAACTCTGAAAGAATAAGGAAAGGATTGCATATCTGAGCTATGGTTCAAAGGTTTGGTTTATACCCACAGCAAGGGCTAGTCAAGGCCCAGTAGCAGCATGGATCAGTGAATTTTATAAGAAATAAATAACACTTGGTCAGAATTACTGTCCCCAAACACTTCGCAACTTCAAAGTAAATATTCATCTTTAAGTTTTTACATTATGATAGAGCAAAAGAACTAGTATTGTCTCTTTCTGGATCACAGGGCTTGATGGCTATGTGCAAAAAGAATTTATATAATTCAAGTGATTTGGACATATTTGTGGAAATACTAGTTTATTACTTTGTTTAGATAAGAAAATATGCAAACTACTGACTCAAGTCAGCCTCAAGGGTAATTTTCAAGTCTCCAAATTAACAAATACATAAATAACATAATACTTGCTTATGGAAAAGATAGCAATTCAACAGTGTCCACTGAGATTTTTTCTTTACACTTTTCTAGTGGATTTTAACAAAGAGGAAAGGTTAAGAATAAGACTGACATCCTAAATACTGTTTGAGAGACAGCAATATGCTAAATCCCCAAAGTATTCCTAGAAAAGCTGCCATGTACCAAGAGCTTCTTCAGAATATCTGAAGATTTCATGCCTCTAACTCTGTGCTGAAGTCACCTCACAATCAATAAAATAAATCTCCTTCCCTACA